GGGGGGGAGACACATTCTGTACCAGCAAGGCAGATTTCCTAGATCAGCCTCTTCCTCTTAGCCCCCATGAGGAGGCGGGGATGCATTTTCCGAGAAGGGCTGGAAAGCTTAACCCTTCCTGTGCTCAGGGCCAGCCCTGGCATTAGGCAGGGTGAGGAAGTTACCTTGGGTGGCAGGTGCTGGGAGGTGGCAGCAAGATGCTCAAGGAGAAGGCAGCACGCCTTACAATTTGCTCTGCACCCCTGAACTTTGCCGGCCGCCTTCAGGTTCAGTGAAGGACATTGTCTCATCTTTTGTGCTGAAGGCTAATTCACTTGCTTGTCCAGACATCTTTGGTAAAATGGCAAGCCAGTTCCTTCATGAAAACCTCTCAAGTAATTTCCCCTCTTCCTCTGTTCTCACTGCCCTTCTAGGAGGAAAAGGTTTTACAATGTAGGGGAGAATCAGCAGGCAAGAGAATGGTAATGATGCACCCCCTTCTCTCCAGTTGTTCTCTATAAATGCACCACAGACCTATATGAGTTATGATGGAAACGTCTGGCTGGAAACCAGATGTTTATGCTGCAATAGTGCAGCAAAAAAGGGATCTTTTCTGTTGTCTTGATGCAAAGCTCTATTATGGCATAGAAATAGAATTCCTGAAGAGTGTTGTCACAGCAAGGTCCTTAAAACACAAGAGTAAATTGGTGGGTCACAGAGATCATTCTTCTATGCAACGTCAATGGAGAAAAGGTAGGAAAGTCTTAAATAGGGAACTATTTCTTCTGATTTGATGCCTGGAGATCTATAGAGTTAGCGCTCCTTCTCAAATCTGAATGGATCAGGAGATGGTCACATTGTTTAGAGAACACTGTTGATGCCTCCTGCTCCCCACTCTGTGGCCATGGAAGAGTATTCAAAAAGCAGTCCAGTAAAGAAAGAAGTCGGGACTGCTCCCATGCTTTTTGAAACAACTCGATCTGCAGAAATCAGTAGAAGCTTTTCACGGCATGCAAATGAGAGCACCATCACTTGCTACCCTCCATAGATCGAGCGGCAGTTAAAGCACAGGAGCATTCGCCAGGAGAAGTGCTGGCAACCAGAGCACACACAGCATTTTTGAAGTCTTGGGGGCAACAGTGTTGACCACATATATTATTGCTCAGGAGTGTGTATATAGATGGCTATTATGAAATATTATTATAGGCTACAGCATATAGCCAGTATACCTTCCTGTCTGGACACCAATCAAACGGATCCCCCCTGCACTGGCCCGCACCCCCCGCCCACACCACCTTGGCAGCCTGCACCCATTCCCCAGCACCTTTCAACTGGCCCCCATTCAAAAAGTTTGAGGACCCCTACTCTGGAGCAACTTTTATGCTGATAAAGTAAGGATCTGAGTGGAAATGAACATAACAGATTCATACATGTCTTGCAGGGAAGAGAGAAACATGGTATCCAAATCTCATGGTTGTTTTTTTGTTTTTTGTTTGTTTGTTTTTTTGCTTGTATCTCTAACCACCACCAGGGCAAGAGAATTTAGCTATGGCAACAGGTGCAGTGAAATTGCAACAGGGAATACTGGTGTATATTCCCCAAGATGAAGCCAACATAACCCAAGCAAGGCAGGGGTTTCCTGGTACTGTTGTCTGTCCAGCAGAGGTGGCTCAGTACATAGGCCAGCAGCCTGAAAGCAACCAGCTTCAGCAGAATCATAAGCTGGGGCCACTGGAGAAACTCTACAGAACAGAGGCCAAGACCCTGGGGGTAAGTTCTTAAAATATTCAGCAGGCAGATCTCTCGTAGTTGTTTAGTCAGGTTCTCAAAATGCAGGATTAAGAGGATGGAAGCATCCAAGGGCAACTGAGAATGTGTAGAATGCACGTTTTATTTATAAACAGATATCAACAGACTAATATGGTACAAGGTAAGAGAATGTGGGGTCACCATGTCATGCTCCATCAACACTCACCATATGCTTTTTGGAAAAACTCCAAACATTTCTCCAAGTCCTAGACAAATCTAAGCTTCTGTCAGCTTAGAAGTAAAATAGGGTAATCCAACAATAAGGAAGATTAAACTATAAAAAACCCTTCTTGAGCATGAATGAGTTGGTTCAGAAAAAAAACTACGTAATGGCCACTTTAGAGCCACTGTGTCTTGGTGTGTTGTGCAAACCTGGTACACTTCTTACAGGGTGACCTATAAGCCCCCCTTGTACTTCCTGTGCTGTTAAACATGGATGATGCAATGACACTTGTACTGGTTTGTGCTTTCGGCCATAAAGCCCCATTAGGCTTAGAAAAGATGTGTGACAGGGCTTTTATAGGAGGCATTTGTGGGGCACTCATGATCTGCTACTCGTGGAAGCTGCTGGGTCATTTACACAACCATCTCCTGCTCCAGGAACTCTCCTGTATTTTGTAGCCATTTTTGACTTTTTTGAGAGCAAGGATATTGAGGAACTATGTTTTAAAGGCCTAACAAACAGAAATAAAGGTTTGCATAATTCAGTAACTGCATCATCTCACAGTACCACATAGAAACAGAGGATCAGAAGAGGTACCCTGGCCATCTAGTCTGACCCCTGGTTCCAGCCAGCTCCGTTCATGACATGCCTACCATGTGCATGTCCAGCCTATCCTTGAACACCCTCACTAATGGAGCTTCAACTACGTCCATGGTGGGCATGTTGTGAGCGGAGCCGGCTGGTGCCAGAGGTCAGACTAGATGGCCCAGGAGGCCCCTACTGACTCACTCTGTTTCTATGTTTCTAAGCCCATCCATACCCAAGTACTTCCTGGCATCCAATTTGAACCTTGGTTCCCTGAGCTTTGCTCCATTGGAACACGTCCTGCCCTCCTCCGCAGGGGAAAACAGGTCTCTGCCCATCTCTGTGTGACACCCCCTCACATATCTATATTGCCAAAAGATCCCCTCAGAGTCTCCTCTTCTCCAGGCTGAAAAGACCCAGTTCCCTCAATCTCTCCTCATACGGCTTTCCCTGCAATCTGGCCACCATCCTTGTGGCCCTACGCTGCACTGACTCTAACCTGGCTATATCCTTCCTGTAATGTGGAGCCCAGAACTGAACATGGTACTCCAGTTGTGGGTGCACCAGAGTCATATAGAGTGGCAGTAATACCTCTTCTGATCTTGAAGCCACACTTCTGGCTATGCAATCAAGGGTGGCGTTCACCCTCTTGACCACCGCATCACACTGCTGGCTCATGTTTAGCCTGCATTCGACCAGTACCCCAAGCACCCTTTCACCAGTGCTGCTCTTCAGCCACTTGTCCCCTAACCTGTGCAAGACTTTGCACTTACGTGCATTGAATGCCATCCTATTGTCGAGTGTAACCCATTAGGGCCTGGTGCCTTTGTAACATCCAGTGCCCTGAGGAGCTGCTCAACTTCTAGGGGTGGGGGTGATTCTAATCTGTGCCCCTAAATCCCCAGTCTCATCTGGTAGCTCATGTAGATCTCTCCATCCTGCTTTAAAGAGAACAAAGAGGCAAAATAGTCATTTGGCATCTGTGCCTGTTTCCTCACATCAGTCACCGAATCCCCTTCTTCCTTATTAACCAGTCCCACTGCCTACTTCCCCTTCTTCTTGCTATTTACATGTTGATAGAAGCCCTTTTTGTTGCTTCTGATATTCTTTGCAACTCTCAGCTCGTAATCAGCCTTAGCCTTGCGAAGAATCCTTCTGTAACAGGCCTTCTCCCCCTGGTATACCCTTTTGTCTACTTGCCCAAGTGCCCATTTCCTACGGAGGTTCCTCTTTCGTCTAATCCCTCATACTACCTCTTTTTGCATCCAGGGTAGTGCTCTCCTTCGCCTCCCTGCCTTGCTAACTAGTGGTATCGTCAAGGCTTGTACCTCCAAGACCTCCCTTTTGAGTGCCATCCACCCCTCCTGAACTCCCTTGCCTCCCAGTACCCTCTCCCAGGAGACTTTCCCCAATCTGGCCTTCAGTTGACCAAAGTGGACCCTTCTAGTACTTGATGTGCCGCTCATCCCTGTTGTATCCCGCGGTTTTACGAATGAGACCAGAGACTAGTTGGAATTTTCGAGAGGGGATTTATTACCTGCAGCGACCACACTCGTTGGAGTGCGGTCCCGAGCAGAAGAAAGCAGCTTTTTTATACTCTTTTACAACTATGCAGGTGCTTGAATAACAGCGAACAATAGGGGAACCCCACTGAGCTACATTGGCACATTTTTCATGCTAAAGCAAGCAAGCGAGGGTACAAGGGTGTGACGTCTGCGGTTATGCTTGAGCATAGCCTGCTTTGTTTTCATCCTTGCGTAGCGTGCACATTCGTTGGGGCTCTTGTTCTTGTTCTCATGTGAACAGGACACCCTGATCATGCTTTTTACCCGTGACGAGCCATGCCCTGGCTGCATGTTCGATTATGAGGGGGGAGGTTACAACAATTCCCTTTCCCCTGATCTCAAAGCAAAGGATGGAGTGATCTCTCGCATCCAGACCTCCCCTAATCTGCACCCCATCGATCAACTCCTCCTTGTTGGTCAAGATCAAGTCAAAGATATGTCCCCCTCCTTGTTGCCTCCCGGACCCTCTGTGTGGAAAACCCCTCCCCCTACAGTGTCTAGGAAGTGACATGACCTGGCTGTTGCTGCCGAGTGAGTCTCCCAACTAATATCTGGGAGATTGAAATCTCCCATAATTACCATGCCCCCCCCCCCAGGATATCCTTTGAATTTGGTCTGTCAGAGCATTGTCCAGGGTCTCAGGTTGGAGGGCGATAACATACCCCCACTGTCAGGTTTCTCCCCCGTCGAAATCCTTTAGTTTCACCTAGATCCCCTCTACCAGATCCCCATCTATGCCACCTTGTATCTCATTGCATCCTATCCCTTCCTTGACATAATAATGCTACACCCCCTCCCCTCTTTCCCTTCCTGTCCTTTCTAAACCCCAGTATGTTTACATTCCAGTCTTGCCTTTCATCCCACCAATTTTCCATGATCCCCACCAGGTCATAACCCCCTATTCCCAGGAGAGCCTCAAGCTCTTCCTGCTTATTATCCATGCTCCTAGCATTGGTATACAAGCTTCTCAGCTCCTTCCCACAGATCCCTTTCTTTGGGTCTCCTGGCCTCATCCTTCCTCCCATTTTCCCTTGATACTGGCACCCTCTTTGTAGGAGTCCTGCCAGCCCCTGCAGTACCTTTAACACCCTGGTCCCCTCCCCTCATTTGTCCAGTCAGGACAAGTTTCTGGGTGGCCTGAGCACCCCCCGACTCAGTTTAAAGCCTTTCAGATGAGCATTTCCAAAGAACCTTTCCCCACATCATCGTGAGGTGCATTCTGCCCCTCATCAGAAGTCCATTGCAAGAAACCGGGTGTCGTGGTCGAGGGACCAGGAGTGTTCCTTCTGACACCACACCCTGAGCCAGTTTTTCGCCATGGCAACCCTCCTTTCCCTGGCTGACCCAAATCCCTGGACAGGCAAGATAGAGGAAAAGGCCACTTGGGCCTTTAGGCCCCTGTGTTTTTCACCCAATGTTGTGGTTGTATTATACAACCTAAAGGAAGACAGAAAAAGCAAAGCTTTGGTTAAAAAAAAAAAACTTAGAAATGACACTCTCTTTCTCCCACAAGGAAAATGGAAAAATCAGTCTCCACAAAGCACTAGGTTAAACACCTCACATAGAGAAGCTGAGTAGCTTACCTGGGGTTCAAGAACTTGCTTGCCCTGTAGAAGAACTGCTAACCTGTCTAGTCCAGCAGAGAAGCCCCCCCCCCCCCCCGCTTGATTTCTGTAATGTCCCTGCATGGATACCAGGGTGGTGAGGGTTGTGCTTTTGCCAGATGAAGCCCAAGGAAGGTAGAGCTTAGCCAAACAGCCTCTCAGTTCAGATCAATAAGCTTTTTAGATGACTTTGTCAGAACGTGCATTTTTCTTCATATTCATGAAGGAAAGAACTTGAGATTTAAAGGGGGAGAAACCAAAAGTGACACTTGAGGGATTAGCTCTTAAAAGACTGGGTTTGAATCCTGTGTCTTGTGGTGCTGAATTAGGGTTTGGTTTTTTTCTGCTCTGCTTCTTTCGTTGCTACTTAGCAGGCAGCACATGATTCTCTCCAAGTTGGAAATAGCACCTACTGAATTTGGCTGCTGCAATTGTTGAGAATTTTGCTTCAGTTCACTTCTAATGAGAATTTACCTAAGTTGACAAATGATTTCCACATTCAGGATGGGAAGAAGTGGAGGTTTTTAAAAGACTCAGTGCTAGAAAAAACCATGTTGAGAGGACACATCCATCCTGTGTCCCACACTGCCCCCTACAGGAGAGGAGCCATTTTCCACCATTTTTGTCACCACAAAGTGCTCTATAGCACAATAATTGCATCTGTTAAAAACGTCCAATTTAGCGAGCAAACATGCTACATCTCACTCCTTTAGTGTTTCATAGCCTCTATGAAGGCCTTATCTTCAGCAGAAGAAAGCTACTTTCTCACTGCCGCTAAAGTTGGCAACTGCACTTTGCCCATCCCAATGTCAACAGAAGACTGTTGTTTGAGTCAGACTGAGCTGAGGACAAATCCTCTTCGTTTCCTTGGGATTTGAGGGGGAGGAAGCAACCAAAACCCAGTTGCCTATTAGAATGGCAAAATTGTGTGCCTCTATCCAGGTTCAGGTTGTCTATTTGCAAATAAGCAGAAATCTTACAATAAAGCAATACTATAAGCCTGTGGTTGACCTCCTCCCAAAAGAAACCAGCTCTGGAGAAATGCCACATCCCTGGACTATCTTAATCCTCAGAGTATTGAGCTGAAGGAGGATGTTTTTATAGAACTAGGAGTGTGAAAAATTCCATGCTGGTTCTCATAGCTGGGTGAGCTGAAGTCATTCATCTGCTTCTGTATTTCACTTGTATCAGGATTAAAATAGCCTGTTTGTGTGTGTTTGTATTCCTTGGAAAAGAGGCTACCTTTTTTCTTTGTTTTGCCTGGTGCAGGGCCTCCCCGCAACCCCTTTTGTCACTTTTGTTTGGTACATTCATAGTTTTGGAGTGAAGCTTCCAGACTGTGTTTAAGGCTCAGTTCATATTTTTTCTTAAAATTTAAAATATGCATATTCTTTGTATGAATTCTGTTGAGAGGAGCTAATCATCTAGCTCAATACAAAAAATAAAAATAACAGCAGTATATTTTTTTACTTGGGACTAGAGAGCTGTTTCATCTTGTGTGTGTGTGCCTCCTTCCCACAGGCCATCCAGATCATCATTGGACTGATACATATCGGCTATGGGTGTGTGTCTGTTTTTCTTCTTTATGGTGAATACCTACCCCTGGCAACAATGGGAGCGTATCCATTCTGGGGTGGATTATTTGTAAGTAGCACATTATTTGTCCTTGAGACCCCACGTATTGGATTTAGAAACACAGAAGCAGAGCGAGTCAGAAGGGGTCTCCTGGGCCATCTAGTCTGACCCCTGGCTCCAGCCAGTTTTGCTCACGACATGCCTACCAGGTGCGTGTCCAGCCTATCCCTGAAGACCCTCAGTGTTGGGGCTTCAACCACCTCCCTTGGAAGCCCATTCCATACTCTAGGAGTTCTAACCTTTTCTCTTCTCGTCTTTCTCTCTCTTTTTGGTTAAAGTTAAATGTTTTTCATGTTTTTTGTAATACCAGTTTTCAGGTGAATTTTTGATCATAATTACATGTACTAGCTATGATCTTGGTTCTCTGGGTGTCAGCCCTTCTGTAGCCCAAACTACATGAATATGTGGGTTGGGAATTATGTCACTGCAGTCCACACCTCTGAAGGAGCCAGGCTGGGAAAGCTGCAGTCTTCCCTCCTTCCTACAGATTGCACACTGGATGCTCATGAGCCGAAGCTCAGTGGCTTGTAAGCAGCAGGTGCAGTGTGGGAAGATCTGTGCCTCCCTATCCCTCCTCCTCTGAATTCAGCTAGGCAGACAATGTTGGCCATCCAGATGAGGCACTTTGGAGAGAAGCGGTCTGGCTGGGTGTCAGAACACCTCCTGCCCCTGCAGCACCAGAATCCTCCCCTCCTCGTGCCCTGGAATGCCCCCTTTAACCGACTTTGAGGTCGGTTTCCTGAGCACTGCACTGGCTGCAGGGATGTCTGGGGAAAGGGAGCAAGGCTTCCCAGCTCCAAGGTCAGAGCGCTGGGTCCAACCTCAGAACTGGGAATCTGAATTATCCGAAGCTCCCTAGACAGCATCTGGGGGCTCTAGGTGCCCCCAGATTGCTGTTCCCAATGACCTGTGAAAGCTTTTGTGATTTTGCAAGGTGTTTATGAGTACTTTCTGTGTTACTCTTATACATTTTTATGTTGATGCATTTTTAATTTAGCTTGATATATTTATTGATTTATTTTTGACTTGGTGTTTTTTACTATGTGAGCTTCTATGGGAAAATATTTATTTTAAATGTGTAGTGTAATTATTAAAATAGATAAATGAATATATAAATTGTGAAAGCATCCTAAGCAAGCCAGAAGATCAGTGTCACTCCACCATTCAGTGCAATGCTGGTTGTCCTTAAAGATTAAAATGTCTGCTAGTCCACACAGTAACATGTTTCCCCCCCTGTAATCTTTAAGGAAATTGAAATGCTCTTCTTCTTTTTTATATGGACAGTTCGTGGCTTCAGGATCAGTGGCTGTATCAGCTGTGAAACATAGGAACAGCAATTTGGTGAGATATTTATTATGTATATTTTATACCAAAGAATAAACCCAACTAGAACAGCCCTTAGTTTGATATGGTGAAGCCTTTAAATAAACAAGTGCAGTTGTCAAAGGAGGACGCATTGTGCCCTCTGTGCTGGAGTAGGACACACCCACTGACATCTCCTTCACGTGTCACTATTGTGGTGCACCCCATGGTCCCCTGAGGTACCATCTGGCTACTCCATTCCCCTCGGGGTTTGTGCAACAACAGGAAACAGATCAGCCATGTAACTCTGCCTCTCAACTTTCAGATCTGCCTACTATATTGACTGAAATGCTATGCACTGCTTTAAAAGTTTGCCCCTAGTTGCGGAAGATGCTACTGCAAGGTTCAAACTGCAAGGAAGATGCTACTGCAAGGTTCAAATTAATTTTGACAGCTTAAAATTAATTCATGCAGTTAAAAAAAAGCAAATCACCCTGAGGTTGACACTCCTAGTAGTCCTTTAGTATAAAGTTTTGGGTGTTTATGGACATTGGGTGGGGGGGCAGTTGCTGTGGTGCCAAGAGACAGAAAAGCATACATTGAGAAATCAGATCCCATTCTCCTCTCCTGCCATACTGGGGGGATGCCAACAAATAACCTTATTTCTTGCTGTACCACCAGAAATGGTGTTCAACAAACTTTGGGCAAAGAAGCAAGACCCATCTTCCGATGTTACTGAAAATATAAGGAACTTTCCTTATAAACCTGGAATTTGCTCAATGTATTTGCTGGAATTCAATGTTATTTGTTGGAATTTGTTGGAATTGTTCAGTGGTACTGAAAAACACATGCTGCAGTACAAACATTAATAAATCATGCTTGGTATATATCAAAGGCCAATTATTTTAAGGCATGCCCCATGTTTTATAAAATTTTTGAGTATAATCTCTAAGAGTATCAGTGTGGTAAACCATGAAGTTCATAGGGTGACTTTGATCAAGTCGCTGATTTGCAGCCTAACCTACCTCATAGAATTGTTGTAAAGATGAACTAACAAAACAGATGCTCATGTACATCACCTTGAACTGCTTGTATATTACATATTTGTTTTATGAATAATTCTTACAGTTTATTGTCCTTTCAGTTCCCAGAGAAACCTGAAATAGCCCATTAAAATAACCCACATTGGGCAATGGACTGTTTTACTCACATTCCATTCATTTCCACTGTTAGGCCTCCCTCTCCTGCCTCCCTTTCTCCTTTTTGTGAGATTTAATAGATTCAATTATGAGTGAAAGTTTTCCCATATATCAGTACTTGCAAAGAAAATATTTCATATCTCTCCAGAAATAAAGCTGCAATGTTTCCAGAACTAAAAATGATTTTTCAAAAGCTAGGAGAGTCCCATGGGGAAGAACCTGTGATGTTACAAAGTGAAGTGAAAGGTGCACTTGAAGGGAATAAGGGACACGGGGTAGACAGGTGCCAACAGAACTGTTCCCAGCTGCAGAGACTAGATTGGTCCAATTCCCAAGGCAAGAATATGTCAAACAATCTGGAAAACAAAACCATGCTCTCCCTGCCTCACACTGGAAACATTCAGCTAGCAGGCGACAGAATAAAAGCCACCCGACAATCTGCAAAACAGAAGGGGCCAGTTTTGCTAAATCTGTCCATCCCTAGCCACAGGTGCTGCAGTAGCCGTCTATTTTCTTCTCTCCAGTAATTCCTGGGCCCTGCCCTGGATGGGTTTGCCAGCCCAGAGCAGTGCCAGTCACAACCTCCCAGCTACTGGCTTCAGGCATGAGCATTTTTCCCATGGCTGGGATGGCATGCAAGTGGCAGTAGCTGGCAGTTGGAGAGAGGCCAGCCAGGGGGAAGCCCATGCAGGGCATCTTGTCAGGACCTCTCAAGCCTCGGGGCAGCTCTGTTTCCAATGTTCTGATTTCATTATTTGTTGAAAACTTCTTTCATTCCTATTTGTGTCTCTGTTTCGTTGGCAGGTTTTTTTCCTTTTCTGAGAGCACTCTGTGCGAGGGGATTTTACATTTAAGTGTACTTTTTGCATTGTATATGCGGTAAGCAGTATTATGCTGAGTCAAGCCATTGGTCAATCTGGCCTAGTACTATTGCTTGACACTGACTGGCAGCATCCCTCTGGGGTTTCTGGCAGGTTTTTTTTTAGCCCTTCATGGAGATGCAGGGTTTGAAGTTGTGGCCTTTCTCGATACTGTGCATGTGCTCTACAGAGCAAACTCTTCAAAGCAAAGCTCAACATAGCTTTTGACTGGTACTTCTTCCTGACCATACATTTCACCATACACTGACTGGGTGAGAGCCTTACAAAGGCATGTGTGTTTTTTCTGCTTTTCAATAGCCTGTTTCTTTGTCCCTCTCTTTCAGGTGAAATGCAGCCTGGGAATGAACCTCATAAGTGCCGTAATGTCATCAATTGGCATCATTCTGTTTACAGCAGAGCTGGCTCTGACATATAGTTCTTTACAGAAACATGCGTCACCTTTAATAATGGTAAGTGAAGACATTTCACAAAGAACTTTAACCACATGACCAGGATCCATGGAGCAGGACATGAGCGGACAGAAAAGATGCTGTTGTGCACACACTGGGCTTTGCATTCACTGCAGTACTTCCTCTGGCCAAAGAGGCCAGCTGTTGTTTAGTTTGAAAGGTGGCTTATCTCTCAGGCACCAGGCAGTTCTGGTTTCTAGAGAAAGCAGCAAGCAAAGCCCAGATGGCACATCTGCTTTTTGGTTTATCCTCCTCCTATATTCTCATTTAGTCTCTGATGTTGGAGAGTTGTAGCTTATGATGCCAAAACAACAGCAACAATGCACAAGATAGTTTCAGGGTCCGGGTAACCCTGAGATGTCAAGAAATAGAAAAATAAAATAAATACAATAAAGGAAAATATCTTGAGGGAGATTCCTAAAACAAGCCCATAAGAAATAGGTACACTCTTTGCTGACTGAATAAACCAAAGAGGAGGGAGACTGGATTGAAGTCTCTGCAAAAGGAGAAAGAGAAAGGGACATGTAAATACAAAAATGTAGAGAGAACCATCTGATTGTCCAGAGATGACATTTTCTGGTTCTCACAGAAAATCTCTTTTCAAAAGTCCCCTGGGATGGCAGTGAAATCCAAGAATGTAATCCAGCTGGGATTGGGTGCCAGACAGGGGTGCCTGCTATACTTCTTCAAATAGTCCAAAGAGGATTGTGCACACTCAGTGGGCATGAAAGGCTGGCTTACCGCCGGGGGATGGAATGGAACACTGGAAGGAAGGGCAGCAGAATCAGGTGGCTGGAACCCTGAGCAGAAGCACTCCATCCTGTAACCTTGTGCTGCATGGCTGCCTTTCTTTCCTCCAATGTTCTTTCCACTCACTGTTTGGGGTGAGTGCAGATCTTTATATAGCCAATAGGACGCCATTCACACACGAGAAGCTAACCATATATTTTACAAGTTTCGGTTCCAAGGGACATGAATATGTTCAAATGATTTTAAATGAACATCACCACCACTGCCCTCCAGCTCTTTCTGTGGTGATTTTCCCCCTGATGGTCTGAAGTCAGTTGCAACTTGTAGCCACTGAACAAATCTGCCACAGTGGAGGGGCATGGAAGACTTGCCAAGACCCTTTCTTCTCTGCTCTACAGTCTCTAGGTCAAGGGCTGTGTATCCTGTTCTACTTGTTCACCTTGCTGCAGTTCTGCATCACTGTTCTAGCATCACATTTTGAATGCCAGACAGCCTGCTGTAATAAAGACACGGTAAGTATTAGAATACCTTCTTCAGGATTCAGGAGGATTAATCTAGAAGCCCAAAAGGGTGATCAGGGGAGCATGCTTCACCTGTACACAAAGCTAGCTATAAAAATCACAATATTCTGAGGTGGGGTTCTTGCAAGTCCCTGAGAGACAACACATGGCATCCACTGTTAGATAAAGAATGCTGCATCTGGATCAATGAACTTGAACCAGCTGAAGAATTCCTCCCTTGCTTACACATATGTCTGGGATTGGCAGTGAATCGAACATTTGTATCACATTTTCAAATGCTCAAACATACTGCCTGTGGGATGATGGGAGGTATAGTCCTGAGGGCAACCTGCCGGGGAAGGCTAGAATAGACAGGTCTTCACAACTATGGGTCAGAGAAATTTCAGGCAATTACTGCAGACTGGCAATGTGGGGGCATGAAAGAAGATCACTAGGAAACACTAGGTAGGGTTGATGATGATGGTGATGAAAGTCATTCTTAAAGTGCTTTTCCTCCCTGTGTTTCAGGCCATGAGTTTTGCGTCCTACACTATGATCGATGATGGTTTGATGCCCACCGAAAGCAATCCTGCTCCACCAGGATCCTGTAATTAAGTGGTCCTTGCCACTGCAGAAGTTCACTAACAAATGCAAAAGACAGTTATATGATTTACTCCCTCAGCCTTCTCAGCTGGCTCAGAAATAACATACCATGATTCTCTTTCAGTCTTGCAACTACCCCCACCCCCTAGATCAGTGTGCTAGGTCCACAATTTTTAGAAGGTTAATCTGTTAGATCAGTTGATTTGAAAAAGAGAAGAGCCAGGACTTGAGAATGAGATTGGGATATGTATATAAGATCTAACCAAGCAGTCTTTGAAGTGCAGAATAACTCAAAATTGGCCATTCTGAGTCCCCTTGCACCTCCCCTCTTGTTCTCAGATTTTTCAAATATGCAGGGATGCAGGACTAACTATGGAATCTCTCCCACCATGCGCACCATCCAGAGATGCAAGGAAACATAGGAAAGTAGATCCCTTAGTCCCTAGTGACCATAGCTTCTGTGGGTCATGCTCATGACCTCAGGTAAACACTCTGGGAACTGAGGGCTCTGGTGGCCTAAAGAAACTTGTCCCCATGAGTAGTCCTCTCACTTCCACTAACAGAGCTATATAACCAAAGAAATGGCTTCACAAGCAGGGCTTGATCTGCATCAGGTCAGATTCATCAGCAGCATTATTTACGCTGTTCAGGCATTTAGCAACATATTATCACATTGTCTCTTAAGTGCACTGAAATCTAGAGAAGAATGACTCCTCCTTCAACACACAGGAACAAATTCTCCTAAGATGCTTCCTGAGGCAGAGCTGAACATGCACCATCTAAAAAGGGCAGAAAGAAAACCCCCTTTCCCTTCAGAGCTCTTTATATATCTGTGCAAAGTTCACTGATCACTCAAGGAATCAACAGATAATTCATTATAATTGTTAGAATTTCCTTAAAAGGGTGTGAGTCTTATTCTGTTTCCATCTACAATATTTCTCCTACCAGCTTTGTTAATAAAATGTTGGAATAAGTGTTTGCTAAGCTGTGACTCTGACCTGTGGGACCACATATGTCAAACTAGTCATTCCTAGAGGAGATCAGCCCTGACTGCTCTTTAGAAGGCCAGATACTGAAGATGAAACTCAAATACTTTGGCCACCTAATGAGAAGGAAGGACTCCCTGGAGGAGAGTCCAACGCTGGGAACAATTGAAGGCAAAAGAAGAAGGGGACGGCAGAGGATGAGGTGGCTAGATGGAGTCACTGAAGCAGTCGGCGAGAGCTTAAGTGGACTCCAGGGGATGGTGGAGGACAGGAAGGCCTGGAGGAATGTTGCCCATGGGGTTGCGATGGGTCGGACATGACTTCACAACTAACAACAACAACAAAGGAACAGCAACGTTAAGTAGTAACCTGGCTTGGAATTCTGCTGCTTTCTGAGAAAGAGGCACAGGTTTGATTTTATAACACAAAGGAACATATAAGCAACCATTTTCCACCAGGATTTATCTGCATTTTCCCAACAGTGGCAGACAGCGGCCTGTGAGAGGGAAAACACACCTGTGGCCAGTCCATTTTCCCGGCTACCTTCAGGGCAGGGCTGGTGCCAGGACCCCTATCTCCAGCTAAGCCAGGCAGGGGCAGTGGCCCTGGGTGGCAAAAATGGGCGTCTGCTCATTTGATTCCAGTTCAATGCCTGGCTGGAGCCCGGTTGGAGTGGAGATTGTGGTGCACTTCGCCCATACCTGGATAGACAGAGCCTGGCCACAGTCACACATGTCCTGGTAACATACAGATTGGTTTATGTGCCTTGTGTGTGGCAGCCTTTAAAGATGGTCCAGTGAATTCAACTGGTCCAAATCAGGCCATGCGGTTGGTGGCAGGTGTTAACATGTGGGCCCACATAACACTCATTTAGTATAAGTTGCACTGGTTGGCAGTTGTAGTCTGGACCCAATCTGAAGTGCTTTTTTGACACACACAGCCCTAAATGGCTTAGGACCTGGCTACCTAAAGGACTGGCTGCTCCCATATATACCTATCCACCCATTAAGATCTGGGCAAGAGATCCTTCTAAAATAGCATTTCCTTGAGGAAATAAAGGGTGTGGTAAATGGAAGAAGGGCCTTCTTGGTGACTGCCCCTCAACTCTCAAACAGGCTGCCTAAAAGAAAATCACCTGGCGCCAACCTTGCTTTCATTTCTGTGCAATGGGAAGATATTTCTTTTCTCTGAATACTTCCAAGGACAGTCTTTAAATTGTTATTTATTTTTGACAGCTGTTGTTCTGCTTTCTTGATATAATGGTGACATGTATTTTTAAATCTTTGATTGTGGTTTTAATTGTTTTTATTGGTGTTTTTAGTATTTTACTGTGAGCCACCTAGAGAATCCATCTGGATTAGTGGGCAGCATACAAAATCAAAACTAAATAAATACATAAATTTTATTTATGTATTTATTTATAGCATTTCTATGCCGCACCCATCACCAAAGCCTCGGGGCAGCTTACAAAGAAAGCAATATCATGATATTAAAAATTTTGGAGTTTCTCGGCAAATATAAAACCATTAAATAAAAACCCATTAACAATTAAAATATCGTTTAAATGAAAAGGTCTTGGCCTGACGCCGAATACCGACAAATAAAATAACGACAAATAAAAATAAATAAATGTGAATCTCCACGTACAGTCTTGGCCCAGGGGTACAGCTGTTGTGCCAGGTAAACTCGGAGAGCAAAACACCTCAAAAAGAGGCATTTGCCTGCCAGGTAGCCTTGGACGGTTTGGGATCAGCCGTTTATTGGGAAAACACCCAAATACCCCTCTCTGCCAGAGAAGAACAACAGCGCTGTTGTTGAGAGCATTTACAGAAGACAATCCAAGAACCAGCAGAACAATGTAAAGCTGACATCAGGAAGGATGTTGCGAATGTTACAGCATTATAGACTGGTTGAGTGACTGATGACCAGCTAAACAGTCGAGTGATGCGAGTTGTAACAGGTCCTGAGGGCAGGTTTTAACATTCAGAAGAAGGCGACTGGATTTGCACAAAGAATCTATTCAGCGCTGCTTCCTGTAACCTAAGTGCTTGCAGAAAAAGTTTCCTTTTCTCGCCCTGCACAAAGCAGAGGAACGTGTCAATTTGCCTAATCCGCTAACTCGCGGCGCACCTGAGCATGCCCGAGCAGACGACGTGTTCCCGCCCATTGATGCTTTGAAACTCGTAGCCTCTGGCGCATGCGCGAGCTGCTCTACAGGCGAATGGGAGGTTGGTGCAGCCTCCCGGCGCTGCCCGCGATTGCGGCCAGGTGGAGCCAGGCGGAAGAGTTCTGGCCTCCTCGGGTGCAGAGCAGGAGGGGCACTCTCGCCGGATTTTATATTGCAAGACACACAAAAGGATTTCTTTTATTTGAAGGCTTTATTTGGACTTTCTCGACACATGTCACAAAGAGGAAGGTCAAGATCTCTTCTTGCTGATGCCAGAGTGTAGGACACGGAATAACCAATTCAAACTGAGACCACCCAGATTCAGGCTGGGCATCAGGAAAAGCTTCCTCACTGTCAGAGCAACCAGCTGCCTAGAGAGGTGGTGGGCCCTCCCACACTGGAGGCATTCAAGGCGAGACTGGACAGCCATCTGAGTGGGATGGAGTAACCTGGTGTCCTGCAACAGCAGGGGGTTGGACTCGATGGCCTTCATGGCCCCTTCCAACTCTCCTATTGTATGATTCTATGGATTAAGACAAAAAGACAACCAAAGGAAGAGGTTTCAGGATAGGCATATATTAGCAAAGGTGGGAAAGAAGACTTGCAGCATGGTTTTCTGATCAGACCAGGATCCTACATTATGTCTAAAGTTGTCCTTACGGTGCTTGGCTTTTGGCAGCCATATTATGCCACAGTTTTCACCCATTTTGTCCTGACAGGATCTTTTGCGGGGGCTTAATGGACGCTGCCAGAGAGAACAAGACCTGGTTTTGCATTGGCAGAGATACACACGACACTTTGAAAGGAAAGCTTATTCAGCAGAAAATAGACAGCAGGAACAAGTTTGAATACTGATGTTGTCTAGACAGCAAATATTCCCATTGCATCCCAATCTTACTCCATATTTCTAAAGAGATAAATAACTTCCTGACTAACAGAGAAACTAACACAAAGAGAAAATGAGAAAGGAACTCCATTACCCATCCTGCAAGTCCCTGTGTGGGCAAGAAGGGTGCAAGGCCTGTACTCACAGCTTGCCCCCACCCCGACCCCATTCCTGCTATGTTCAGAGCATGTCTCCTTTCTTCTGTAAGTCCCTGATCTTTACACTACACTATACTTCATGTGTGTTTATTTGCAGGATGAGTTTTCTGGACCTCTGCTGATTGTTGGAAGAGTGCTTGATTGCTTCTTGATGACCTTAACTATTTTTTTTCTCTGTGCCACAAACCATGACCAGGTTAATTTTCTGTGGGACCCTGGCTGTGTTTGCTAGCAGCTATTGATAGGGCAATTTCCAGGTGTCTCGGGACAATGGATCTTGCTTTCAAGGTTGTTTTGCCTTATCTCTTTAAGGGACGAAATGTCTGGCCTTTTTTGCACAATGATGCCAGCATTTATCCTTCTCTCACACTGGCTAGCCCAGGATCCTAGGTCCTTCAAGCTTGCCCACCACCTGGGAGCCTGTTGTTATGGAGCTAATATTGATACATGCATGCACTACAATATTGACTAGCCTATTTTTTGTTTATAAGAACTTCTGTTTGTATGTCATGGATTTACGAGACATAGAGTGAGTCAGAAGGGGTCTCCTGGGCCATCTAGTCTGACCCCCGGCTCCAGCCAGCTCCACTCATGACATGCCTACCATGTGTATGTCCAGCCTATCTTTGAACACCCTCACCGATGGGGCTTCAACCATCAAAAGAAATTTCTTATACCACAAATAGTAAAAAAGTTAACAATTACTTAGAAGGTTGTTGTGCTGGCAGTTAAAACATTTCTCCCAGCCCATTCTCGTGAAAATAAGGATCAGCAGTCAAAATGAGCAAATAGTTCTCCCATTTTTAATCCACATCGAGCCCCTTGGACTGCAAGGTGATCAAACCAGTCAGTCCTAGAGGAGATTGTTATAATCACTCTTTCCTTTCCGTCGGAAGAGAAGAACTTTTCCAAGCATGCAGAGAGTTCTTTTTAAAAACTTTATTGCAATGAAGGGAACAGAAAAAAATGGTTTCCTTCCCATTTTCCTGTTCACCTGAGCACATGTTCACATCCCCTTTTTGAACCCAGCTCCCGGCCGCCTATTCTGTGCTGCTCCAACACCGGCCCTTCTTCCCAATCCAGCCCTGCCCCCGGTGGGCTGCAATAGGCTCATTTTGTTCTGCTGCCAAGCTTGTCAATTAACAATCAGGAAGTCATTGAGTGAGTATTTGGCCATCCTGTCTTTTCTCACACCTTGTGCTATCTGATCTTAGCCCCTCCTCTGCTTTGGCTAAGTAATTTTCTTTGTTATCCTTTTAAATCTTTCTACTCCCTTGTTTCAAATCATCCTTTCACATCCATTGTTGGGAAAATTTGAATAGATCCTGTCTGAAAAGCATTACTTCTGTGTGCTTTTGCATTGTGGGATCAAATCCTGTACTCCTTCTCAAAACCAAGCTAAGTCACTGTTTAAAATGGCATTGGAATTCAGTTTACCAGGAAGTATCTGCCTAACCCAGAGGGCTTCATGTGCCCTGGTCATTCACAATGTCTAGAGTCTAGATAAGCTTATGAGTTCATGCAGTTTCTCAGTAGCTTGAATTTACATGTCTAAGCAGACCTGGAGATGAGTTCAAGTTACTGAACTAAAGTGTCAATACACGGCAATTAGAAATATTGTAATCTTACTGTCACTGTATGATTGACTGACATTCCTTTATCTGTTCTGTATGTGATGACCTCAGAATCTTATTGTAATCTCTGCATTCTGTCATCAATTGCCCTGTACCTGTGACCTGACTGGGAGTGCATAAAAACTCTGTAGTTGTGTTGAAGCTTTGCTCTCCTAGCCTCCGAGCAAGACTAGCTAAAAAGAGGCCAGGCTGTATCTCATTTTGCATTACCAAGAATGCTGTGGAGTTGAAGGCCAACTACACATTAAATGAAGGAGGTGCAGTTTTGTGGATTTTTTTAAAAATCCTGCTAACTGTGTTGGGGAAGTTCCACTGAGAATGCAGCAAGCAGGGAGGGGAGGTTGAATCTTTTTCTGCCTGAAATTTGCACTTGCAAGTCAAAAGCACCAGGAGTAGATAGGATACCAATAGAACTATTCCAGGCTGCAGGAATTAAATTGGTCCAAATTCTAACAAGAATATGTCCACACACATGGAAAACAAGTTCCCTCAGAATGGAAACATTCAACACACATTCCAGTCCCCAGGAAAGGCGATGCAAAGACTGCCACAACCCATTGTGCTAATTTCCCAGAAAAACAAAATGATGCTCAAAGTGTTGTGACAATGATTTTTATCCTATAAGGAGAAAGAATTGCCTGATGTTCATGCAAGAATTCAAAAAAGGAAAACACACTCAAGATCATATTTCCCAGTCAATTTTGTTCCCAGAAATACCACATATGGCCAAGTTGCCTAAGACTCTTGGCTGCCGTCTCTTCCTACCCTTGGCAAGGTTCTTGGCTTGTTCTGTTTCGTCTTGGGCTTTTCTGCCTGGCTTCCCCCTCCTCTGCAGCTCCCTGTCCTTTCTGCTCAGTGTTTACAACTCTGGTTTCTGCTGTGAACAGAAAGTTACCACTTGCAGCTTCTCGTCATCATTTCCTGGCTCGCCACACCCACCTCCAGCCTCAATCCTTTTCAGCAGAGAGGTGGACCACAGGGAGTTGTAACTGTTGGCTTATTCCCCTCCGGACTCTCCACATTGACTCTCTGCTTTGAGGGATCTCTGCCCTTCCAAATTCAACAGGCTGGTGACATCTTGGAGCTTGATTTAGGTCAGTATTCTTGAGTTTATTTCCTTACTGTATACCCCAGTCAGGTTTTGTAATCTTCCACGTGCATGTCATTCCATTTTCCTCGGATTTCTATGTTGGAGTACAGCTGTATTCTAGATTCCTAGAATAGGGTTGGGAGGGTCCAAGAAGGCCATCGGGTCCAACCCCCTGCTGGTGCAAGACACAAATTTTCACCATCCCACTCAGATGACTGTCCTGTTTCACCTTAAATGTCTCTAGTGTAGGAGAGCCCACAACCTCTCTGGGCAGCTAGTTCCACTGTCATATTGCTCTGCCAGTGAGGAAGCTTTTCCTGGTCTGTACCCTGAATCTGGTATGCTGCAGTTTAAGTTCACTGTTCTGTGTCCTACATTTGGAGATGAGTGAGATAAGGTCTTTTCCTTCCTCTTTGTGGCAGCCTTTGAGGTACTTGTGGAGTGCTAACATATCCCCTCATAGTCGTCTCTTCTTGAGGCTAAACATGCCCAGCTCTTCCAGCCCTCTCATCACAGGGATTCATTTCCAGACCTGGATTATCTCTGCTGCCCTCCTCTGAAGGCTTTCTGGTTTTCTGCATCTTTTTAAAACCTGGGTGCCCGGAACTCAACCCAGTATCTGAGGTGCAGCCTGACTAGAGCACAGTAAAGGGGACCTCTCTTGTTCTGGAAGTGATGGTTCTATTTATGCATCCCAAAAATAGTATTTGCCCTTTCTGTGGCTGCATCTTATTGCTGGCTCATAGTTGCTTGTTCTCTACAACAGCTCCAAGGTCTTTTTCTTTTTCAGTGCCATTCAGCCCCAAACTCCCCATCTTGTATTGATGTGTTCAGGGGTTTTTTCCCCTAGATGGAGAACTTGGCATTTGTCCCTGTTGAATTTCATTCTGTTGCTTTGCACCAAGTCTTCTAGCTTGTCTAGGTCACCCTGGATCTTCTTTTTGTCTTCCAGGATGTTAGCTATTCTGCCCAGTTTTGTGCCATCTGCAAATTTAATTATCATTCCCTAGACTTCCTCATCTAGATTATTAATAAAGTTGTTGAAGAGCGCTGGTCCCAGGACTGAGCCCTGTGGTATTACCTCTCTCCAGCTTGCTACTTCCCATCTCATCCTCCCAGTAGTTTTATGAGATAGGTGGTCACAGGGCAAGGTGAAGTCAGAGAGCAGTGAACTAGTAGTTATAAGCACACAGGCGTAATAGGTTGATGAATACTAACTCACACACCCTGAGTTAGTGTGGGCTAATTATAGACAATGGGCTAATTATAATGCACATGCAATGTATGTAGATTGCATGTAATGTAATGTAGATGTATGTAATGTAATGTATGAGACAGGAATTGCATGAAGTCAGCAGACAGAAAGGCTGTGAACCCTCCAGTACCCATGATATGGGGAAAAAGGGGAGGCTTCTTGTGGACTGGGACAGGGAATACAAAGAAATGGCGAGCTATGCTTGGTGTGCCTGCTTGCTTGCGACACCCATATTGCGAAATGTATTTAATAAATTAGTGCTGCTTGGAGTAGTGTTGTCTGGCATTTATTTTCCAGCACATTCCCCCATGAAGAGATAAATCCACTGCTCACAGCAGCCACGAGGGCTTCCTCTATTGTCTTTTGCACTTTTTTTTTGGTTGGAATTAGTTTTTGTTGTGCTTTGAGAATTTCTTTTTAAAAATTTCCTTTCCCTCTTGTGCATCTTTTCCCTTTACAGTAAGCTGCTGGGGGATTTAACTTATTGATTTGAATTTCTTAAAGTTGGACCTTTTGAAGTCTAGGAGACATGGTGGGCTACAGTTGACTCTTGCCAACTTCATAATAGAGAATTCAGGAATGGCATGGTCACTTTCCCCCAGGGAACTTCTGACCACTAGATCTTTCCTGTTGGTAAGTATCAGGTTGCTCCTTCATGGATCACTGCCTTGTCGTGGTGAAGGGGCTTGTGTAGCTCAATGAAGCTATGAGCTATGCCATGCAGGGGCACCCAAGACATACAGGTCATAGCAGAGAGCTCTGACAAAAGCTGGTCCTCTGGAGAAGGAAATGGCAACCCACTCCAGTATCTTTGCCATGAAAACCCCATGGACAGTACCAAAAGGCAAAGAGATATGATGCCAGAAGATGAGTCCCTCAGGTCAGAAGGTGTCCAATATGCTGCTGGGGAAGAGCAGAGGGCTAGTACTAGTAGCACCAGAAAGAATGAAGCGACTGGGTCAAAGCTGAAAGGACACTCAGTTGCAGATGTATCTGGTGGTGAAAGGAAAGTCCGATGCTGCAAAGATCTATACTCCATAGGAACCTGGAATGTAAGATCCATGAATCAAGGCAAGCTGGATGTGGTCAAACAAGAAATGACAGGACTGAACATCGACATCTTAGGAATCAGTGAACTAAAATGGACAGGAATGGGTGAATTTAATTCAAATGACCCTCAGGTATACTACTGCGGGCAACAATCCCTCAGAAGAAATGGAGTAGCCTTCATAGTCAATAAAAGAGTAGGAAAAGCAGTACTGGGATACAATCTCCAAAATGACAGAACGATCTCAGTTCAAATCCAAGGCAAACCATTCAACATCCCAGTAGTCCAAGTCTATGCCCCAACCACTGGTGCTGAACAGGCTGAAGTTGACTGGTTCTGTGAAGGCCTACAACACCTTCTAGAATTAACACCCAAAAATGATGTCCTTATCATCATGGGGAATTGGAATGCTTAAAGTAGGAAGCCAAAAGATAACCGGAATAACAGGCAAGTTTGGCCTGGGAGTACAAAATGAAGCAGGGCACAGGCTGGTAGAATTTTGTCAAGAGAATATGATAGTCATAGCAAACACTCTTTTCCAACAAAGCAAGAGACGACTCTACACATGAACATCACCAGACAGTCAACACAGAAATCAGATTGACTATGTGCTCTGCAGTCAAAGATGGAGAAGCTCTATACAATCAGTAAAAACTAGACCAGGAGCTGACTGTGGCTCAGATCATGAGCTTCTGGTTGCAAAATTTAGGCTTAAGTTGAAGAAAGTAGGGAAAAGCACTAGGCCACTCAGGTATGACCTAAATCATATCCCTGATGAATATACAGTAGATGTGACAAATAGATTTAAGGAATTAGATCTGATAGAGTGCCTGAAGAACTATGGACGGAGGTTCGCAACATTGTACAAGAGGCAGCAACTAAAACCATCCCAAAGAAAAAGAAATGCAAGAAAGCAAAATGGTTGTCTGAGGAAGCTTTACAAGTAGCTGAGGAAAGAAGGGAAGTGAAAGGCAAGGGAGAAAGATACAAACAATTGAATGCAGAATTCCAGAGAATAGCTAGAACAGATAAGAATGCCTTCTTAAATGAACAGTGCAAAGAAATAGAAGAAAACAATAGAATAGGGAGGACCAGAGATCTCCAAGAAAATTGGAGATATGAAGGGAACATTTCATGCACAGATGGGCATGATAAAGGACCAAAATGGCAGGGACAGAGGCAGAAGAGATTAAGAAGAGGTGGCAAGATTACACAGAAGAACTATACAAGAAAGAGCTTAACTTCCCTGATAACTAGTGGAGGAGACAGTATTCCAGCTGAGCTATTCAAAATCCTAAAAGACGATGCAGTAAAAGTGCTACACTCAATATGCCAGCAAACTTGGAAAACTCAACAGTGGCCACAGGATTGGAAAAGGTCAGTTTACATTCCCATTCCAAAGAAGGGCAATGCCAAAGAATGTTCAAACTACCGCACCATTGCACTCATTTCACACGCTAGCAAAGTTATGCTCAAAATCCTACAAGCTAGGCTCCAGCAGTATGTGGATCAAGAACTACCAGATGTACAGGCAGGATTTCAAAGAGGGAGAGGAACTAGAGATCAAATTGCCAACATACGCTGGATCATGGAGAAAGCTAGGGAGTTCCAGAAAAACATCTACTTCTGCTTCATTGACTATGCTAAAGCCTTTGATTGTGTGGATCACAACAAATTGTGGCAAGTTCTTAAAGAGATGGGAGTACCAGACCATTTTATTTGTCTCTTGAGAAACCTATATGCGGGTCAAGAAGCAACAGTGGGAACTGGACATGGAACCACTGATTGGTTCAAAATTGAGAAAGGAGTTCGGCAAGGCTGTATACTGTCTCCCTGTCTATTTAACTTATATGCAGAGCACATCATGAGAAAGGTGGGGCTAGATGAATCACTAGTTGGAATTAAGATTGCTGGGAGAAATATCAACAACCTCAGATATGCAGATGATACCACTCTCATGGCAGAAAGTGAAGAGAAACTAAAGAGCCTCTTGATGTGGGTAAAGGAGGAGAGCGCACAAGTTGGCTTGAAACTCAACATTAAGAAAACTAAGATCATGGCATCTGGTCCTCTCACTTCCTGGCAAATATATGGGGAAGAAATGGGCTGCAAGACAGATTTTATTTTCCTGGGCTGCAAGATCACCACAGATGGGGACTGCAGCCAAGAAATTAAAAGAGGCTTGCTCCTGGGGAGGAAAGCTTTGGCAAATCTAGACAGCATACTAAAAAGCAGAGACATCACCCTGCCAACATAAGTGCATATAGTCAAGGCTATGGTTTTCCCAGTTGCAATGTATGGCTGTGAAAACTGGACCATAAGGAAGGCTGAGCGCCGAAGGATTGAGGCCTTTGAATTGTGGTGCTGGAGGAGACTTCTGCGAGTCCCTTGGACTGCAAGGTGATCAAACCGGTCAGTCCTAGAGGAGATCAACCCTGACTGCTCTTTAGAAGGCCAGATCCTGAAGATGAAACTCAACTACTTTGGCCACCTAATGAGAAGGAAGGACTCCCTGGAGAAGAGCCTAATGCTGGGAACAATAGATGGCAAAAGAGGAAGGGGACGGCAGAGGATGAGGTGGCTGGATAGGGTCACTGAAGCAGTTGGTGAGAGCTTGAGAGGACTCCGGGAGATGGTGGAGGACAGGAAGGCCTGGAGGAGTGTTGTCCATGGGGTTGCGATGAGTCGGACATGACTTTGC